CACAGGCTCATATAGTTATTAAGTGTGGATATGGGTAAACACAGGGGATGGCTCCAGCCAGAGGGAGAAAAGTATAATCCCCTCCTGCTTCTCTGGCCCCATCCTTCTCTCCCTCGTAGACTCCATGACATGTTCCAGTATACTGCCAATATATCCCATTTTTGCTTGAACAATTTGAAGTGGGGTTTTGTTCTTTGTAAGCTGAAGGAACCTGTACTAAGACAATTGATCCTACCAGATCTGTCGCACCCAATATTAAGAGTATATTTTTGAGCTTAACAACCATATGTAAATGACTATAGTGTTTTTTTTTAATGACTTTATTTCATTACAAAGTTTAAAATGGTTTAAATCAAAATGAAGAAGCCCTCCAGAAGAGACTTCAGGGGTAGTAAAAGCCTCCTTTTCTGGATAATAGATGGTTTTCAGCAGTAAGGGGTGGGTAAACTCTTCATTGGCAGTGTGCTCCACACAGGATCTGGTGATGATTGGATGTGTGTGTGCACACGTCAGTGTGAGGGGGATAAGTTGTGTGTTCCTATCAAGCCTGGAAAAGCTGGAAGGCAAGGTTGGGGCTAAGAGAGATGGGAAAAGTCAGGAAGCTGAGCCAGGTGAATATGATGAGGAAGCTTATATCTTTAAGATATGATCCAAAGGGAATTTGCAACCTAAGGTGAAATTAGTAGAGAATGATAAAAAAAATACATTGAAATTGGCAGGATACTTAATTGTGCCTGGGTTTTATTTCTTTTAAATCTTGCTGAAAGTACCAATAATGTATGCGAATTATCCTTTCTCGATAAATATATATTAATATATATTGCTGTCAAATGGAATTTTTAAAGAGTAAACAGTTGGCTGAATATTGCAGTTTCACTGGAAAAACTAGTCATCTGCCTAGAGTGAGTCTGCCTGATGTACATGGCTCTGATTGATATCATTGCCCACGTGGTCAACCACAGTTGCCAGAGGAGCTGGCACAGCGTTCCAGGAGGACAGATTCATCTTTCTCCTCCCTGCTTGAAAAAATACAACCTAAAAATCTTTGGCATTCTTTCCAGAAGGAAGTAACAAGGAAATAATTCACTTGTGGCCTCAGTTGACAAGCACGGATCTGGGGGCCCTCTCTCCTTTGACTCAGGTCAGAGGGTAGTCCCTTTGGAAGGCAGGGATCCTTTTCCTGAGAGATGGATAAAGGAAAGAGAAATGAAATGGAGAGGTAATGTGGTGACCAGAGGCTTGGTGGCCAGGGATGGGGGTGCATCAGGAATGACAGTTGAGACATCAGGAAAGATGATGCAATGGCGACAGTATGTGACATAAAAGGGTGCAGGTATGGAAGGCCTCCAAAGGAGACTGGAGAGCAAATCCAAATAAACATCGCGCACCTTCACTTTATCGATGCCTCTACAAAAGTCTCCTATTATTCCATTTGACCAATGTTTGAGAACAGTGACTTCTTGGCTTAGCCAACCCGGGGAAAGGCTGAGCTTTGGACGGCCCCTTCCCCTCCCAAACTGAAAAACCTCTAAGATGTAACCAGGAGAGAAGAAGGGCTCAGTCTTCTGTGTCAGAAATGATTCCTCCAAAGCAGATACCATGAGGCTATCTCTAAGGGGAGCACTCATAACATCATGGCCACCCCCTGCACAGCTCTGGGGATGCCATTCACACTGTGAACTACTTTAGCTCCTGGAGCTGTGTTGTGAACTGTGTGTGTGGCTTTACGCAGTAGCTCTGCATAATCACATAGCTTTAAAAAATCAGTAGATAACAAGCTCATATTCCATGCAACTTCCTGTCTTGTTTTTGTTGATAAGAAGCTCTTAAGACTACCATTAAAGCACTCTTAGATGCGCTGTTCCAAAATGTTCTCTTCCTTTCTTTGTTACTTAATATTCTTTGCAGGTGTTAATAATCTAGGCCTATTTTTTTATATTTTTGCTGTAAGTGGTTCTGAATCGGAGAGGGCCAGGCATAACAGAATTGCTTGGGAAATGTTTTCAAAGTATACTTGCCCAATATATCAACAAGAGAATGGATAAGCAAATTGGGACACACACCCACGTACACACACCCACACTACGTAATTCCATTTATATGACATTTGAGAACTAGCAAAAGTAACCTATGGTGATAGAAGTCTGCCTGGAGGGGTGATATTGACTGAAGTCACACAAGGGAAATTCCTGTGGTGATGGACATTTTCTATGTCTTGATCTGGATGGTGGTCACATGGATGTATCCATATGTAAACTTAATATTTGTGCTTTTTATTGAAAGTAAATTATATCTCAAAAAAATACTGTCGAAAAATATTATACACACACACACACACACATATACACCAACTCGTTTCTACCCTAGACCCAGAGAATAAGATGAATAAGAAATGGTGAGCAGGGATGAAGAAAGGGTGTGTATTTTGAAAAAGATCCCCATTTCTCCTTCCTTCCATTACCATTAACTGCCAAATATCCTTTTTGGAATTGGAATTAGGCTGGGGATAAAAACAAAAAAATATATATATGACTTTTAAATTTGTAGAAGGCCCCTGGAGATCATAAGAGTTTCCCTAAGACAGTCTGCTTACTTTTCAGTTTGCTTTGATGGGGGAACTTGTTTTGTTTGCCGTCAGTGAGTTCTGAAGGTATAAAAAGGTTTTGAAGGTATAAAAAGAAATTAACGTGAGGAACATATTGGGGGTGGGAGGAGTCATAGAGGCCCATGAGATTCTGCTTGGCATCCTGTATTTATAGTTTGAATCAGGCTTTGAACAAGTTGCAATCTTTTGGGGGGACATTTAATACTGACAAGTTCCTAAAACTACAAAGCTTTAAAGTAAACGTGTAGGGATGTATTTGGGGCTTATCTTATTAACCAAACTCCTGTTCACTCTGATGCATATTAAGGCGCCTTGAGTGTGACGCAGACTTAGGAAATGGGCTGCTTTTTTCTTTTTTGAAAGAAGTTGTGACATCCTGGCTTTATCACTTAGCTTCCTACAGAGATATGCCATCTGCCTGGAGGAGTGTATCTTCAACCAAAATCAGAGCTGGGAAAGTCCTCAGAGATGAACAACTTCAACCAAGCTCTGACCTCCATGTCACACTCCACTTAAAAAATCAACTCAGGCGTAGAGGTGAAGTGGCTTGCTCAGGGTCACAGGGCTGGTCAGAGACAGAACCAGAACCCTGTGTCTGCATGCAAGTCCTTTGCTCCTTCTTCTGCCCCGCAAGGGCCTTAGCATGTTGTCCTCAGAGTTTGGTGATATGTGATTTTAGAGCACAATACACAAATGCCACTTCCTTTCCTTGAAGACTCCAAGAGGCCTCCCATCTCACAGAAAAGAGCAGGAGCCTGGGTTTTGTCTCAAGAGCCTGCAGGTACTTCTGTATCTTGAATCTTAATCCTGTTTTGGTCAAAATTCAGAGACTAAGAGCTTGCATTTTGGGGCTAGATAGACTAGGGTCCATTATTATATTTTCCTAGCTGTGTGACCCTTAGTGAGATAGCTAATTTCTTCATGCCTCACTTTCCTCATCTAGGAAATGGGGATGAGGAGTGCTTTACCAGGCTTCCAGGACCAGTAAGGCACTCCCTAATTTTCTTTGGAAGTCCAGCAAGTCCATATTGAAGCTAAACGGCTAGTTCTTTGAAAGTTTGAGAAACTGATCTTAATTCCTTCAGCCTTTTCCCTCCATCCCTGTGGGGTCTTTTCTATTTCTTTATAGTTCCAGAGATTGGCAAATGCTCAGAGAAGTCAGTCCCCACAAATCTGTACCTAATGGGTACAACAGCGTTTGCTCTTTGGATTCCCATTCTCTTCCCCAAGAGGCCCAGAATTTTTGTATAAGCTATGGGACACTGAAGTAATATGGAACAATATTTTCTGTGACAATGACTTCAAGGACCCTTTTCAACCTAACAAAGGTTGAAAGGGCTGGGCTTGAGTCCTGGTAAGATAACAGACTCCTAAAACATGTTTTTAGCAATGCAAAGGACGACAGAAATGTAAGCAAACCCTTTAATTTTACAGGTACAAAAGCCAAGGCTTTCGGGGGCTGGGATACTCCTCAGCCATCCAATCGGTCACCAGCAGGGCAGGGCATAAAACATAGGTTCCCACTCCTGGCTCCGTGCTTTTTCCATCATACCAGCTGCGTCTCATTAACCCCACCTCTGAAAGTACTAAGAAAGTTCCCTCCCAGTGCCTACCGAGGCAGGGTGGGGCGATTCTGTGGCATGGAACGAACCTGGAAAATCACATATTCCAACTCCCAGCATAAACTGCTTTTGCGACTCCAGGAGGGGTGGCGGGGCGGGGGTGGTGGGGGGATTAAGACACCAGGTCCGATACCCTGAGGATCCGGGTGTCCCGGAGAGAGAACTCTGAGACAGGCTGCTCCGTGAAGCCACCTTACTTTTTCCTGGTCTCTTTCCCTGTGCACTGGCTGCATGGGGGACGTCCTGCTTGGAGGGTTCCCCAAAGTAAGATGGGCTGTCCTTGCTCTAGGTCGGAGGGGGCAAGTTCCTACCGCTGCCCAGCCTCTGCGGTTTTCGGAGGTCTAGGTGGGATTTTTCCTGCTTTCTGCCCCCGCCGGAGCGCCGCTAGGTTGGGTCGGCTGTGGTCACTCGTCCTTCTCCACTCCCACGTCTCTTACTCTAGGGAGTTTCAGCCCGTTCTTCCTCCTCAGCCCTCACCTTTGAAAACAGTTTCCAAAGCGTCCACGTTAAAAGTGCGCGGCTTCTCCGGGGCCTGCAGAAGGAGCTCCTGCAGCCCGGCATTCCTCGGATTCCAGCGCTGTGACGTCCCCAAGGACGGCGCGCCTCCCGCTCTGCAGCTCCGGCTCCAAGTTTCCGCGCTCCCCGCGCAGACGCTCCCCCCGCCCGCGCCCGCCCGCCGCGCCCCCGCCGCGCGCCCTCCCGGGCCGCATTCCTCCCCGGCCGCGCGCCCCGCGTTCCCGGCGCTCCCTCCGCCTCCCGGCCCCCCAGCGCCGCCGAGCCCGGCCCGGGGGTGGGGGAGCCGCGGCCGCCGGCGCCTGCTCCGTCCCCTCCCACTCGCACGGCCCCTTCCTCCCTCCTCTCACGGCTGCTCGCATTTCCTGCCGCCCTGGCTCTCCCGGCCCCTAAAAGTTCTTCCCAACTTTCTCTCCCCCGAGCGGGCGCAGTCGGGGGCAGGTTGCTGCGCTCCTCCTCGCTCAGCTGCCTGCCCTCCCGGCTTAGGTCCTCGGGGAGCAGCAGACACAAAGTGGCCGCTGGCGGTCCTTCCTCTCCCACCTCACCCATCCTCCTCTCCCCGGCCCCCTCCGGCGGGACACCCCGCGCCTAGGTGGTTCTGCTTTTCTCCTTCTCCGTGCGCCCCTGCGCCGACTCTCGCGCCGGGATCGCGGAGGAAACCTCCCTCCCCTTTCGCCTCGGCCGGCTCCTTCCCTCTGCCCCTCCTCCGCCAGCCACTGGAGTCAATTCCTTGGGGAATTGGGGCTCCGCTGCCGCCGCGGAGGACAGCCTTTCCGCGCGGGACCCCAGGGCACCGCCGGGGCCATGTAAGCAGGTAAGCGCCGTGTGCGGCGGGGGAGTCTGGCCCGAGGTTGGGGGCCGCCTCGCGCTCCGGGCGACTTGCCGATGACTTGGGCAAACGCTGCCAACGCCAACTTGCAATCGGCGGCCCGGGACGCCGGGCAGGGCAGCGGGGGCGCGAGGTGGCCGGGCCGCAGGAGTTTTAAGTCGCGGTGGGAGCCGCCCGCTGTGAGGCGCGCAGCTTGTCTGGGAAGTGAAGGTGGAAGGTGAGCGTTGTCTGGAAAGTTTGCGGTTAAACCGACACCCTCGCCCCCTCCTCCCCATTTCCCTTCGGCTTTTTGGGAACGAGAGAGGGCCTGGAAGGGGCAGCTGGAAATACCCAGGCGGTTGGGGCTGGAGGATGAAAGGAACGACGTTGCCGTCTCTCCAGCGGGAGAGGGACTCTCTCCCCGACCCTCTTCTGCCCCCCAAAGGGACAGGATCTCTGGAGGGAGAGGAGTTTTCATGCCGTGCCACTAGGCCCCAGCTGGGTCACCAAACTCGTGGGCGTCTTGCCTCCTACTTGGGTGGTCGGGCTGGCTCATAGGGAAAACCTGTGGCCACACGATTTCAGAACAGGTCTCCACCTCCAACTTCCAAAGTTCTGAGTATTAACAAGTTCTGAGGGTGTTGTTAATACTCTCTCCCCTTTCTCCCTGGCATGACCCCTGCATCTGGGTTTTGCCTAATTGTAAGTGGGTTTTGCACCTTTTTGAGGGAGCAGTGAGCTAGTGCTGCAGCTGCCTCCCATTCCCTTCCACTTCCTTCAGTTCCCCACCCCGGTCCCCAACCCCACCTACAATTTAAGGAGGTTGTGGGGTTTCGGCTTCCGGCTGTCGAGGGACTGACTGTTGGAGGCTCTTTGTGAAAGTGAGGAATCTCTAGATTGCAGGCTGCTTATGCTGTTACAGGGTTTCTTAAAATGGATTAGTTCACTCATTCATTCAACAAACCTAGTATTGAGCTTCTACTCTGTGTTGGGAACAGGGGATACAAAGATGCTGAAACAAGATCTAACTGCAGCCTCCTGGAAGAAACTCAAAGGCTGATCAAGAATTACAGTGTAGTGAGAGAGGGGTTCTGTGAGAGCCAGGGAAGGCTTGGTCCTGGAGGTGAGCGGGTGAGGGGTGCACTGAGCTTAGAGGGTTGAGGTGGTACTCACCTGGAGGAGTGACTAGGAGAGTGTATTCCAGGTGGAGGAAACAGCTTGTGCAAAGTGCAAGTCATCCAAAAATGAGTATAAAAAGATCATACCTAACTCTCTGGGGGCCGGAGGGGGGTTTACGGCCAGGTTGGTGCAGGGATAGCATTGTTGTTAAAATCTTCTTTAATATCGGAAATTAAACTGAAAGCATGTTACCCACTTATGGGAACCAGGTAGCTTCCAGAGGAGTACAAGTCTCTCTTTTTGGACACACCTCCATGCCTGATGCTGTTTCTACAACAGGCAGCAGTTGTGCGACCATCTAAACTTTAATTGGCACTAATTGGTCCATGCCTGGTTTCATTAGAATGGTATTGATTCCCTTTTAAAGAGCCACGTGACAGCAATAGGTGGTCATACTACAGCATGACAGAACCTTGTATTAAAGTTACCGTATCTTTTGGTGATGGGGTTAAAAGCTTGTGCCATGGAAATGATAGCCTTGATGAGTGTGAGCTGAACAGCATGTTGCTCTTTTGCCTAATCTGAATGGGTGGCCGTGATGTGCAGAAAGGGTTCATGTATGTGTCACTGTGTTCCTTATAGTATCCTCTACTTTTAAAAGTCATTCTTGCTTCAGTACGATGGTAAGGGCTACTTTTCCTTCCTCTGAAAATTTATAAAATCTGAATATCTTCAAGCAGGTTGTTGTAGCTTAATGGTCCAGGATTTAGCAATTCTGCCTAAAAAGTTCTTTAAAAGTTCTTTATAGAGCAGTAGTATTCTGTACATGGTTAGTCTTTCAAGGGCGCCTCTTCACGGGGCTGAAGTGGCGTTGTAGTATTATTCATAGTGGATGAGTCCCGGCTGAGATGGCAGAGGTCCAGCTTTCGGTGACCTCAGTACTTCAGAGTGGGAAGAACACACTGACTTCCTACACTTTTGGGTGTTTATCCAAGCCCCTCTGCAAACACCTTCGCTTATCTCAAGAATAGCCCCTTGACAGGAGTTTTCCTGAAGGCATAGGACCTGCATGAGAGAAATGGCTGAAGAGAAGCTCTTTCTTGCTAATCCAGGTACCTACCCAGCTTCCGTCATTGGCTTAAACACATAGTTATTAGTAACACTTTAGTGATTCAGGTTTGTGCATACTGTGTGGCATGGACAGCTATCATGGAAAGCACAGTTAGACTATTTTCATATGGAAGAATCTAAAGAATTCAGAGAAAAATCAGAATTTTTAGGAGAATTCTTGTCCTGAATGGGTGGGCCAGGAGTCAAGAACTATGAGGATTTTTTTTTTTCCTGGGGAAGCAAATGTAACCCTTTGATTGCACATTGTCCTACCTGGCTTCCATAATCTTGTCTTTTTTCACCTACTGTGCTGCATTTGAACTTCTTTCCTTGGTCATCAAGTGCTGTGTATTTTTTGAACTCATTCAAAACCTCAGAACAGTGCTACGCACTTTGTGAGAGAGAAGGCAGGGGAGAGAGAGAAGATGAAATAATCAGCCAGTTAGTGTTGCTTGTGCTGATTAGAAGAGAAGGAGGGTAAACAAGTTTTGGTGGAGACGAGGTTAAAATTGATGTCTAAAATAAGACTTTGTGGGGGCTGGCCCAGTGGCATAGTGGTTAAGTTTGGCACACTCCACTTCGGTGGCCTGGGTTCGCGGGTTTGGATCCCAGGCGCAGACCTACTCCACTCACCAGCCATGCTGTGGTGGTGACCCACATGCAAAATAAAGGAAGACTGGCACAGATGTTAGCTCAGGGCTAATCTTCCTCAAGCAAAAAGAGGAAGGTTGGCAACAGATGTTAGCCTAGGGCGACTCTTCCACAGCAAAAAAAAAAAAAAAAAAGACTTTGTGATCTCCCCTTACTGATTTAATTACCCTTCCCCTGTCTGAGCCCCTTGGAGGACTTACTGAGTGGTTCAAGTGGTGTATGTGGCAAGTTCTGCCACTTTTCCTGGCGATTGGTGTGCTAGAGCAGGGGATCCAGGGTTGGGAGTTTGAAATATAGCTAGGTTTGAATTCCAGTTCTGCATCTTTTAGCTGTGTGATGTTAGAGGAACTTCACAGCCCTTCGGAGTCTCAATTTCTTCATCTACAAGATGGGGCCAGTAGTAGGTAACTTGCCAGGATGTTATTTGTGGAGAATTCAGTGTAATGCCATATGTCCACCTGCTAACATAGTGCCTCGCAGAGTAGATGCTGGGTCAAAGATGGCTATTTATGTGTTCCAGGAGTTATATGTGGCCGTGAATGTGCTCTTTGTGTGTGTCATTTTTCTTCCAGCAGCCTGAATTCACATGCGTGCCAACATACACATAAAGCTTTGTCTTGGACTTTTTTTGTGTGTGTCTGTTGGCTCAAAGCAAACGTGTTGGCTGGCGGCTGGCATGTGGCCCCCATGTAGGAGGAGGTTGAGAGTTGCAGGACCAGGCAGTAGGGTAGTTTTGGGGAGGGAAAGCCACTTAGAGAAGAGCAGAGCAAAGGGTCTTTCTCCCTGTATACTACTTGCTGTAACAAGGATCCAGTGCTAATATAAGGATCCTTGTATTGCTAATGTTGAAATCCAGTGAATGAAATGATGTTGCAGTAAATCTGCCTGCCTTTAGCAAGAGTCCAGAAGCTAGCCGATCTTCACAAATGAGTGTCTTTGCAGCCTTCATTTCCTTCTTTGAAGTTCAACTATAGAGTCAACTGGGACACCTCTGGTGTAATGCCAGCCTCAGGTGGCTTGAAACCGTTAATGTTGCCTTGCATCTGAGAAACCTCAAGTATTTGACAAACATTAACTCATTGATCTTCATATCAACCTCCCAGCAGGAGGGAATGTTAGAAGAAAGAATCTCCTAAAATGTCAGTAGGGCAGGTGTAGTATGTGTTCTGGAAGCAGAATGGATTGTTATAGCCAAGAATTGGTTAAATCCTGCATGCCAGATTGCATGCAAGCCAGGAGGTCGTGAGAGGACCCCTTTAAGGGGTCGAGGGAGAAAGCTTAGGAAAAATGCAGATCTGGCTGGGATTTTTGCAGTGAGAGGAAATCCACATTGCCCAGACCAGCCATGCCTTTGCTGTACATTGCATGCACGCTGATTATGAAAATAAATAATCTCTGACTTATTTATAATTCTGAATGAAAGGATATGATGCAATGCTTGTGCATGAGCACTTAGAGTAGCTGAGGATAAAAGGTATTAGTGACTAAGTACCTTTTTGTGGGACAGGGGTGGTTATGTGTCTAAGTTGGATTATAAATGGCGTATTAACATTGTTTTAATTTCCTTTCCCTTTTTCCTGCTGGTTCTATGTGCCTTGGCTTGGTTTTATTGTACTCTCCTATCAAGCTTTTGTTTGACTTGCTTCATGGGCCTTCCTATTGGAAAAAACATATTGTGGCCGTTCTTAGATTAATCGTGTGTAAAATTTGATATGTGGGTGATTTAGCTCAGTTCCTTAGGGGACCACATTAGGCCCAGCTCAAGGGTTTCATCCTGAGCCTAGTCAGTTAGTTGACCCAGAGGTCTGTTGTGTATCCAGAGGTCCTGTAGCCCTGGGTGGCCATCCCATAAATGCTTAATGCTGGTCAACAGGGAGGTGCCCGGTGAGAAAATGCGAAAGGGATCGGCTGGTGGTGTGGCATCCTCTGAGAAGCAGAATAGCATCTTCACATTTGTGTTGTTTGCCATTTTAGTATTGAACTAGATTCCTAAATTAGGAAGCTTTACTGTGTGGGCCACTGACTGGATCTGCTTTGCCTTACAAGTTTTTAGCTCACAGGGAAAAATCACCCATTGTTGAAAATTAGCAAAAGTTCCTGATGCTTATCTTTGTGCAAAGTCTGTC